CATCCATGAAACTCATCAGAGCATGACCGGCTGTAGAGTCGACCAGATTGTCAAACTTTTGAAGCAGGTAACTGTCCTTTGGGCATGCTCTATTCAGATTTGTGTAGTCTACACACATTCGCCAGGTACCATTCGGCTTTTTCACGAGGACAACGTTTGCTACCCAGTCCGGGTAGTAGCAGTGCCGGATGAACCCAACATCTAACAGTTTTTTGACCTCAGCCGCTGTCGCCTGAGATCTCTCTTCACCGTGATCCCTCTTTTTCTGCCTGACCGGCTTCTTTTTACGGTCCACGTCGAGTTTGTGGACAGCAAGATCCGGGCTGACGACTGGCATCTCTTCCACTTCAAAGGAAAAGATGTCTTTGAATTCTTTTAGAAGTTGGAGCAGGTCTGCTCCCAACCGTTCAAAAGCAACCGCCCCAACCTTGATAGTTCTGTCAGGACGGCTGTTGTCTAAGACGACGTCAATGCAGTCACTAGCCGGCTGAGGTCGTTGTTCATCTGACCTTTCCCCGACCAGTGATTGCTATTTTTCTTGCTTGACGGGATCCGTCTGGCCCGCCTTTCTTTTCTTACCGGCTGCCCTTGGAGCCGGGACTGCTGTATCGCAGTTATCAAGGTCTATGGGCTTGCCGTCTCCGGCTGCCCCCATAGTAGGTCTGACGTCAGATAGATAGCACTCCCTAGTCGTCCTCTGGTCCCCCTTAAGGGAACCGACTGCTCCATCATCCTTTTCAAATTTGACAAGCATGAGTGAAGGAACGATGACAGCCTTGGACTCATTGAGGGTCGGACGGCCAAAAATCATGTTGTAGGCGGCAAGCTCTTCTACAACCAAGAATTTTACCACCATGTGGCGTCCTTCCCCTTTTTCACCCAGCCGGATTAGAAAGTCTATGCTTCCTACCGGATGCACTACGCCTCCCTCAAAACCAACAAGCGGGTGAGGTGCCTGATGCATGTTACTGGATTTGTACTTGAGCTTGGTCAAGCATTGATAGCTGATTAGGTCAGACGAGCTCCCGGTATCTATTAGGATCCGGCCAACCCTTTGATTGGTAACTTTACATTCGATGACTATGGGGTCATCGTGAGGCTGCCTGACCTTGCCCCGGTCCTTTTCAGAAATAAGGACCTCAGGAAAAGTGTCTTTCCACGCTTGGTTATCCTCAACTGAGTTGACCAGCTTCCTGATGTTATCTTTGGTGCCCTTAATAGTGGGACCCCCTCCGACAAAGCCGCCTGCTATGGTGAAGATGGTCTCTTCATCCGTTTCAGAATTGGAAAGAACAACTTTTGCCGCTTGCCCTTTCTTGGCCAGGGTGTTACCCTTGGCTTTGGGCAGATAAGACTTCAGAACCTCCTCATCAGCCAGATGGTCTAATAGCCGCCTGAGGCTATAGCAACCATTAGTGTCATGGCCAACATCCTCATGGTACTGGCAGTATTTGCTTTTGTCCCGGCTCCCTACGGGACTTTTTATCACAACCGGTTTGTCGAGAGACATCCGGTCCTTTATCTCCATGAGGATGGAGGAGCAGTCCTTTGTGAACTCGTACTTGGGAACGTACGGTTCAAATTTCCGTCTAAGCTTCTGAGCCGGCTGACCAGATCGGTCTGCCGCCCAGACCTCTTTTCTCTTCAATTCTTCCTTTTTAGCCGGCTGTTGTTGTTGCAGGCTGTCTCTTCTGTCGGATTTTTTGGAATTCGACGGCTTCTTTACAGCACAAAGCTCCGTCGCCTGTATGTAGGCTTCAGCTTCCATTAACGCCTCTTGGAGGGTGGCTACCCTTTTTCGGACGAGGTCAAACTTGAAGGTTGACCCATCCTTCAGACCCTTAAAGAAGTCTGTGTAAGCAACTTCATCAGACAGTCCTTGAATCTGAATTCTCATCAGATTGAACCGCCTGACATAGGACCGGAGCCCTTCTCTGTCAACCTGCTGTATTGCCCCCAGATCGAGGCTAGTCATTTTGGCCGAGATGTTCATTGAGAAGTTTGACGTAAATAAGTACGCCAAAGTCTTGAAGCTATTGATGCAGCCGGGTGGTAAGTTACCAAACCACCGTTGGGCAATGCCCTTCAGGATAGCCGGGAAGTATCGGCACCAGACAACATCATCCAACCCCTGTAGGTACATGAGATTGGAATAGGCCATTAAATGATCTTCTGGGTTGGAGGTACCATCATAGGCCCCTAACAACACGTTTTTAATCTTAGCCGGCTGTGCCGCCTGGGTTATCTCAGGGGAGAACGCCGAGGGCTGTTCTCCCAAGTTCAGCAGGCGCTGCTGCCAGTCCATGAGCTGGAACGGCTGCTGCACATTTCTGCCAAACGGACCCATTTGGGTAAAAGGGGATCCACCCAGCCCATTCGGCGAACCAAATAGACCAGGTTGGATCACTTGGGGTCCAGACCGGGCGGATGGTTCGCCCGTGTGACTCCCTAGACTCGTTCCCGTACGCCTGTTAGAGGTGTCACGGAAACTGTCAGGAAAGGTCGACGTTGAAGCCGACGCAGACGCCAGACTTCTCTTTTCTTGGAGAAACGTGCGGGCATCAGAGAATATCTTTTTTGAACCATCCGGCTGCAAATGCTGGATGGGCTTTCTGGGTTCCGCTTGCGGGAAGCGGAGCCGGTTTTGATCGAACTTGAGGCCCTCCCCCTCCTTCGGCTTTGGATGAGGGGTAGGGACCCGGTCTCTAATCGCCTTCTTGTTAGAAGAAGGCTTCTTGGCCGGCTGACTCTTCTTGGGAGTAGCTGACCGAATAAGGTTCTGAATCTCGCCTTTGAAACTATTCATGAAGGTCATGAGTTCGTTCCTTGTGACGGGAGCAGAGCCTTCTGCCGCCTGAGCAGCTCCTACCGGGTTGCCGGCTGGGTTGCTTGGAGCAGCTTGAATGTTATCCCGTTCCTTCCTATCCCTGGAACCGGTGTGCTTTGTTCTGAAGGACCCGTCTTGGGCCACATAGGTGTTGAGTCCGTAGTCATCACCGCTTTCATGGTCCGTCTGGACCTCAGGCTCGGCCGATGGCTGCTTGTCCTGATCCGGTGGTACAGGGTTAGAAGTCATCTTAGAAGTACTATCCCCACAGACGGCGCCAAATGTTTCGGGGTTTTTCTGATGTGTCCTGCGGGAGAGTTACAATTCCAAGAATGCCCTTCAGCCGCCTGCAAAACCACGAAGACTCCGGTTGGGTGGAGCTCCGCCTCCGACGATCAAGTCAGTAACGTACAGGAGGAAAATAGTGCGTAAAATAGTGAAATTACTTCTCGCGTAATGGGAGAATTCCGCAATTAGTATTGCTCGGTTTTGGTGTAAGTGTATTCAATTTTCTTGAATGTATTTATGAATGTCTTGAATTCAATGTATTGAATGCCCCATTAATGAGGATTCTCCCACTATTTATAGTGGGGAGACTTGGTTCCCCATTTAGGGTTTCTAGGACACGTGTCAGCAGGGGATTGGAGCCCTGCTGACAAATGGCGAGGTGCCACGTGTTGCTCGACCATTGGGCCACGTGGCTGGGGTATTTTAACCCCAAACAGATAGAGTTTAGGAGAGAAGCAAGAGAGGATAGTGGAAAATAGTTTCATGAACTCAAATAAAGATATTGAATTATTGTTTAATTTTAATATTGACATAATATGTATAGTTTAAAGTTTAGCTGAGGTAATAAAATGATTTGCATGTTGAATTATCTAATAAAAGGAAAGATGTACGAATTAAAATTAATGATATGCAATTAAAAAAATTTAAGGGTTGTTAAATTAATGATGTTTAATCGATCAATAGTTCCCACATAATGCACCACCTGTGAGTCTATTATATGAGGCATAAAAATGTTTGATTGGGAAAAAAAAATAGTCGAAGGAAAGGATCAGTCAATAAGAAAGAAGTAGGAAAAAACGGACAAGTCCCGAAACTGTTTTTAAGTTGAGCTGATTCTTCAAGAGGAGTCCGGCTTCCGCCTGGAGGTAATGCCATATGCTAAAATGCTATTCAGGGGTTAAATACGTTGTACATAGTTTTAAGAAATTCATTTGATTAACAGGAAGAAAGTGATGCCAATTTGTTGGTAAAACATACAAGAACATATAGATATTGTCAAATGTGTATATAGAAATACTTATCTAGCTAAAAAGCTCTTTCAAAATAAATTCATTGTAGTATTTTAGACAAATTTAAGTTTTATAATTGAATGCCATTATAATTTAAGAATAGTTATGTAAAATAATTGTGTATAACACATAACCTTACCTAGTAGCTTAATTAATTAAATCCCAATATATTTTATTGTTGACTGTTATCCCAATGTTAGGGTTGTTAAATTTCTTTTTTAATTTGGTATGTATGATATGACAAGTTGAAAGAGATTTCTCCGAAATAACATAGTATGTCAAAAGTAAGTTGCGAAATAGCACGAGCGATTAATTTATGAATAATTATTTGGTCACTCTTTTTGAGAAGGATGTGTTCTTACTAGTTTGCATTGAAAAAAAAACATGTATCATTTTCTGAATATGAAGACTTAAAAGATGCAATTGTAATTTAATTTTGAACTTTGTGTAATTTTTTTTTCAACTTTTTTGAATTGTATGATTAAATATTTTTGTCAAATTATGTGATATTAAGTTGTCGTCCTCCCAGTTAGAAATTCCTGACTTCGCCATTGCATATATTGGTAGATTCATCTCGATATGTAATTTTATAATATCAAATTTTAATAATTTTTTGTGAATATGTAATAAAAAATATTGATAGTCAAACGAGCATTTTAAAGACCATACAAAATCAAAATAGATCAAATTATAAAATAAAGAGTAATATAAACAACTACACCGTATTTAATTTTTAAACCATACAAGCCCGATTTGGATCATAATACAACGAAGATAATGCAAAACCTTCTCTTCAATTCTTTAACCATCCACTAATTAAGAAATAAGAACGACATGTGTTACACCATCATGCACTGCATAAACACACTCGTGGCATTTAAATCACACCACCATATCTACTTCTCTAAGTAAACTTTGCCACACCTCTTTTCTAAGTTGATCCAAACACCCTTTGCGACACATGTTTACCATTCTATCCTGCTTAGTCACCTCTTCACATTCCTCCTTTTCACCACATGTCATATTACCTCTCTTCATGTTCATCTTCTTAAACCGACCAACCATATATCAACCGAACTATGCTATTAATTTATTTATATTATAGTTCTAAATCTCTTCTATGTATATGTACATTTGAAGACCCTTTTGTTTATGTGATTTCTATAGCAAAGTTCAATACTCAACTTAAAAGACAGTCCATATTATATTAGAAGTGCAAAAGAAGTAATACTGAAAAAAAACTATGGCTTCACAACAGCAGCAGAGAAGAGACAACACAACACAAGAGAGAAAGTTGCAAGTTGAGCAAAACCTTGTGCTTAAACGAGCTACTCAGTTTGAAGAGCTAGCTCATAAGGCTACCGACTCCGCGGTAGCAGCTGCGGCGACTGTCGAAGCCGAAAGGAGGAGTGCTGGTAAGGGAGGGAGTACTACTGTGGTCATTGGTGTTGGCCATGCCGGTGGCGGTGCCGGTGGAGGTGGGGGTCATACTCAGCAGCAGCAACACATGAGGGAGAGTGGGACCACTCACATTGGTATGGGCCAGGCTCAAAAAGGAGGCGGTGGAGGTGGGCTTACACCGTCTCGTCAGCAGCAAATGAGAGACATTGAGAGCACCGAGTTTGAGTCGCTTACTAATAGAGTTGGTGGACTTGAGTTTGGAAGTGGAGTTCAGCAGCAGAGAGGAACATCCAATCAGGAGCAATCGCGCAGGGATACGAGTCATGGTGTGTCAAAGCAGGAGGTGGGAAGGGATACGAGCCATGGTGAAGTTGCAGGAAGGGATACGAGCCATGGTGTATCGAAGCAGGCGGTGGGAAGGGACACGAGCCATGGTGTAGCTGCAGGAAGGGACACGAGCCATGGTGTGGGATGGCAGGCGGGGGGAATGGACACGAGCCATGGTGGAGCGGCAAAAGGACCGACTTCGGTGGGGAAGTTTGAGATGAAAGAAGAAATGGGAAGTGGAACACAAGAGAAGGGTATGGAGAGGGGAAGAGGAGAAGGAGGGCAGGAAAAAGCTGTAACGGGAAGACGGTATGATGAACAACTAAAGCGCGAGACACCGTCTTTGGAAGAGATTTCCAAATATAGGCAGACTGCTCAACAGAACTCTCTGGATGCTGTTCAAGCTGCTCAAGAAAGGTATTTTGATGTTACGTGTATTGTAAACTTTTTTGAGAATTATGCATAGTTCACTACTGAAGTTGGATCATTAGTTGTAGTAAATATTTTGTTATTGATTCAATTCTAAAGTTTGGAATCAATTAATTTAAATATCTGCACACATTGGTCACGCTATATCCAGTATAATGTTTGTTTTCTTTAGTTATAAGGTGTATCTAGTAAATAAAGAAGCACGGATTATGTATGATTAATCACTTAATCTGTTAATGTTAATGTTGTACCTTTAACATTACATTATTAATCTATTAGTGTTCTAAAAACATAAATTGTACTCGGTACAATTACTTGTGGTAGAGTTGAAAACGTGTTATCAGAAAACAGATAATTTTTAGAGGATTGGTTAAGTAGTTTAAAATATTAGCTTGACTTCATAATATTAGAATACGGTTCTTAAATTTTGTAAAATTAGAAGCTGTGACTTTTATTAAGTGGATATATATGGTACTAAACTGCTACTTCGTGTTAACTTAGTTGTACCTAAACAAAGGAAGTTACAAGCTCCATCGAAACATAAGACAAGTAAAACATTGAAGATATCTCTTAGAATGTTTTTTTTTTTAGGTATTTTAGTATGGTTATTACAACGTGCATCAATAGTGAGTTCTGATATAGTGGGAAACAAATTTTTCCTGTGAACTTCCCACTTCTCAGACCACTAAAATTAAACATATAATATTGTTTGACATGTTGATTTTATAATGATAAAATAGGTATGGCAAAGCAAAGGAAGATGCAGCAAATGCAGCTTGGGAAGCCAAAGAAGCAGCAAAACATGGATTAGGGGCAGCAGCGACAAAGACAGCTGAATTGGGATCCAAGGCTCAAGAAAAAGCCCGTGCAGGAGCTGGGGTAACAACCCAATATGTATCAGAGACCGCTCGTCCAGTGGTTCAGACAGCTGCACAGAAAGCCAAACAAGCTAAAGATGCAGCCATAGTTGCAGGCCAAAAGTCCATGGAATACACTGGGGAAAAGGCAGCACTCGCTAAAGATGCAGCCATGACTGCAGGCCAAAAGTCCATGGAATACACTGGGGAAAAGGTGGTTCAGGCCAAAGATACTACAGTTGGCACCACTAAAACTGTTGCAGGTTACGTGGGAGAGAAGGCGGTGGCTGCCAAGGATGTTGCATTGCAAACTGGTAAAACTGCAGCTGGCTATGCAGGGAAGGTAGCCGAAGAGGTGAAGGATCAGGCTGTAGTTGCTAGGTGGGGAGCTGCACATTACACTACGGAGGCTGCAGTAGAGGCTACGAAGATGGCAGGTGGGGTGGTGTGGAAGGCAAAAGACGCGGTAGCAAGTGCTGCGCATAAGGCGACTGAATTGGCTGAGAAGCCAGTAGTTATGGCAAAAGATATGGCTGTAGGCACTGGTGAAAAACTCGCTGACTATACTGCTAGGAAGAAGACTGAGGCCGAAATATACAAAGAAGAGAAGCACACATACTATGATGCGGTACTTGTTGTCTTGCTCAAACATTTTACAATCAATGTATTAGTTTGATTATTAGTATATAAATTGCTTGCATTAATATACATTACAAAATCTCTTATGCAGGGAGAGAATCAACCTTCCTCTGGTGAAGGAGTTACCGGTATGATCCAGAAAGGCACAGAGAAAGTGAAGGACATGGGAAGAGGAGTGATGGGATCTACACCTGGTGGTGAAGGCACCGAAATGTACCAGGATATTGAGGGAGTTACCAGAGGTGGAGGAGGTACCGGAGGTGGAGGAGTTACTGGTATGATCCAAAAAGGCACGGAGAAGGTGAAGGGCATAGGAAGAGGAGTGATGGGATCTTCACCTGGTAGCGGAGTCACAGAAATGTTTCAGGAAGCCAAGCAGACGGTCAAGGACGGAGCATCTAAAGTGGGAGAAGGAGGCGAGATAGTCACAGAGAAAGGCGAAGGCGTGCTCGGTGCAATAGGCGAAACTATAGTTGAGATTGCACAGCACACTACAAATCTTGTTGCTGGAGCAGGGCCAGCAACAGGGCAGCAAACTGAAGTCAAAGAGAAGAAGCTGGAGCATCAAGATAGAAAGAAATACTGAATAAGTTAGTAGTAATCGATAATGCAAGTCTTTTGTAAGAAGTCTGGTTTCGGTATTTTTGGGTAGTTACTTTTGCATCAGGTAACCAGGATAATGTGTGAAGTTTATTTAGTGTTTCCTAGGAGTATCGTGAATAAACTATATGGTAAATGGAATTATGGAATGCAAGTTTATGATGTTAGATAAAATACTACAGTAATTTAGTAATTTTTTGTTCAAATTTAGCATTGTAAATATCCTAATCTCACAAGGTATCAATCCAAACCTTAGCCAAATATCGTTCTTCTTCTGCAAGCGTCTATTCTCCTTGAACAATGATATATAGTCCAATAACAAATAAGTTATACTTGATGAGTTGATGTTGAAAAGGTGATACTAAGTTATACTTGATGTTTACAAAGTTAAACAAAAATATAACAGAAGTTCTTTCCAAAAAAAAAAGTCATAATATAAGTGTTTCAAGATTATAATCACATTTGATCCAAAAGCCATGAAGCCATCTTTCATCGATCAAGACTTGCAAGACTGACCCAATGTATTGTATACTCCAATGATAATTTCTACTGATGTATTATCCGAAGCAGTTAGAGCCAATTTGGTTAGTCTACAAACTTGGATTATTTTCCTTCCATCTCCGACTGAGAATTTAGTTTTTCAAGTGGTTTGATATTGGCATTTTCGCAAAATGCGCATCTAGGACTAATAATTATCCCACATATAAACGCTAGTTCTCCTTGCGCATTATATTCTCAATCATGTATAATTAGTTTTCCGTATTGTATTGTACTCTATCCGTTTCAAAATAAATGCCTCAATTTTCCTACGTTTCAAAATAAATGCCTCGAACTCTTATTTCTCAGAAATAAATTATCTAATGGTCCCCTTCACTCACATATAATGTTATTTCTCTCTCTTAACCCCACCACTCCCATACAACATATAACTTGGTTAAAACTGTCCAACTTTATGGAGCATTATTTTGAAATAGAGGGAGTAAATCTTGATAAATCTCGTACAATGCACATATATATATTATATTACTAGATAATAAGAGCCTAAGATTATTTATTGTTAAATTAACATTAATCTGTTCACAGGATCAAAACTAGAATTTTCACATGTTAATGGACGAATAAGAGAATAAATGGAAATTAAATACATAATTAGTACTCCTATCTATGAACTCATCGGTACTAAAATTTACAGTGGCGTAAAATCTGTTCCAATGCCAAGAGTAGTAAATAGGCTATGTTCGATCTGGTTTAAATTTTTTTAATTTGATTTGATATGATTTTAAATTTGATCAAAGTTTGACCAGAGTGTTCATCAATTTGTAAGATAAAAAATTATCAAATGTGATTTCGTTAAAGTTGTATTAATATGTATTTTCCAAATATGAAATTTTCAGATAATTGTAAATTACAAAAATAAAGATTTTCAACGATAAATATACACAATTAAAATGATAAGATGTGATCTGATTTGATTATTTCTAAAAGTAAATTTAACTGCACATAGAATAAAAACTCTTCTCGTGATCTAATGTTATTTAGTACAGGGATTCCATCCTATTTAGAAAAGTGTTGGGTTGAATTTGTAAAGATATTTAATTTGTGGATTTGTTGGACCATTAAAAAAAAATAGTGGATTAATGTGTAATGTTTCCTCCGTTTTTATGTTTGTCTTATTATCTTAATTAATACTTCGTATACCTCAATTTAAGTACTGCGCGCGTGCACACATTTAAAAGAGAACATATTCGCAAACTAAAAAAACGAATTGAATAACATCTAAATATTCTAAATTATGTTAAAGTATTAGATTCTATTTTCATTATGATATCTCAATAATCTAAATTAGACAAACAAAAATTATATAAGTAAATGCACAGAATGTGGTAGAAGATACTTCGTAATCAAAATAAAAAAGTATGCGTAGTGTAGAACTAGATACAATATTCTTCCTCAGTTTCTATTAGATTATTTGAAATTTCGAAAATAAAAATATTAAATTAATCAAATTTTGACTAAATGCACAAACTATACCACGAAAGACAGCGACATCCAACACAATTAAAGACAAAAAAATGGAAAAATTGCTCAGAACAATCCGATCTTTGTAAGTCACTTGGGACCATTTTAAGCAGATTGGAAATAAAGGTCGGAATATTAAAAAATAATCAAAAGGTAGGATTATTTTGGACGGATGAGCCAAATGTCGGATTATTCCGAATAATTTTTCCTTAAAAAATTGTAAATGATTGTAGGGAAACCGAAGTCTTCAAAAATTAACAAAGATATAGCTAGGTTGCTTCATAATCATAATGCAAGCCTAACCTTTTGTTTAAAAGGGAGTACTATAATTTTTACGAAGAAAGGCTTCAAAATGGCGAATGAGGTCCACCAAAAATGATCCCATCAATGGTTCAAACTCACATGGTCCATGTGCCATATAATTAGCTCAAACATCACCATCCTACTTTGTAGATAATGTTTGGTGGAAATGGAGTGAAATTCAACTAGTCAAGGACCTAAACGATGGGTTTCTCTCTTTATGATTGTTATCTTACAAAATATCTAGATATAAAAGGGGAGTATCAATCTACAATATATATTCAGGCTTGGGTTTAGTTATACCAATTGCAAAGTAAAATCTGACCCAACCTCACACCTCAATCTAAATAAAGCTTATATTATGAACGTCAAACAAGTGAAACAACATGTGCACAACATTTTTTTTTTTCCTTTCTAAGTAAGAATAACGACCTTATTGGATCAAGACCCCTCACAAATAAGACAATCTAGGTACGGAATCGAATCTATACCTTCAAAGTCATATGATGAAACAGTATAGATCTAACAAAACTAACCTACTACCCTACATGATATGAAACCCAAACTCTACCCGAAGGCACTTGATACAATTTTACCCAATCAATAATAAATGTTTCTCACAAACGAGAATAAATACTACATGACCTTAATAGTCCATCAAAACTAACCCAACCCGGTCCTAAAGTATTTAATCCTGCAAAGAAACATGATGCAGATTCAAACTAGCATAATGTTTAGGAAGAGTTGGTGCCTAAATTTTCTTACCGGTATGCCAACTTACTCGACAAAATTAAATTTGGTTCACCTAAATTAATCACTAGCACGGCATCCAACCACTGAAATCTACCCAACCATTCAACAAACTCAGCTGACAAATAACGGTATTGGCCACCTAACCGAACGCTCAAAATTCACGTGCTACCTTCGCAATTTAGTCTTCAAATTACCAGTTCAAATTACATTATCAACATAACCATCAATTTGTACATGATGATACTACTTTTGTCACAACTCAAAAGGTCGTGATATAATTATTAGACTTGTCACATCTTTGAGTTCAAATTACACTATTAGCGTAAGTATTAGTCCTAAATTAAGTAAATATAAAATGCAGAGAAAAACGCTACTAACAAAATTGAGTACTACTTCGATTAGTGTTTAGGTACAATATAAGAATATTGTTTGTGAGCCGTTAAAAATTACTTTATTGCAGTTGAAAAGCAATGGTGGTAATAATATAAGTTGAAAGTGTGCAGCAAATTAACGTCCGGAAAATAATGTGCAAGATTTTGACCAAATAATCGATACAAACTAAAAGCTTAGTAAATCACAAAAGTACATCACAACTCACTCCGAAAAAGAATCCATATTATGAACAATATACAAGTCAAAAATCATCTTGATCATCATTAAAATACACAAAACCCCAGAAATTTAATTATTGAAATTTACAAAAATCATAAAACTAAATTAAACTTGAAATTAAAAAAAAATATATATTAATAAAAAATTAACAAGGGATCTTAGAAGTAAACCACTCCATGACATGAATAGGGGCTTTGATCAACTCAAGTGCCAATTCCACTAAGACGGTCACACACAAACAGCACGGGCATATGCAACTCAACGTCAATCTGCCAAATTAAATCAAAATTTCAATACAATAATAAATCAAATTTAAACTCAAAATTCAACTACAATGTTTATAAAAAACTAAAAATTACGGAGTATAAATTAAATAAATAAATAAAATTACCCGACGATCCAAATGATTATGCCGACAATGGAGAGGAGGAGAGATAAGAAAGCGAAAGGAAGGCCCAATAAAAAGCCCAATGGCCTGCAATCACCATCACAGCAACACATGATTATGGAGTTATGGTGGCTTTTTTTTCGGATTAGGGTTTTTTTTTTCTCCTTCTTTGAAATTGAAAAAAATTGCTACTGTGTTTTTGGGTGAAGAAGATGGAGTTAATATGTATGTAAGGAGATGAATGGGCGGTCAACTGAATGGTGCGGTTTTAATTATAATACGGAGTATATTTGTGGCTTTATGTGCTTTGTAGTGGCCGCGTTATTTTAGACTTAAAAGGGTAATTGAACTCGTATTCTAATAGGTGACGTGATTGACTTGGTGAAGAAACTTGATACGAGGATGCGTATGCTCTTCAAACAATCCAGGTTGATATTAGTTTTATAAATTGAGAGCACATAATTAGACCATGTAGGTTTTTTATTTTATTTTATTTTATTTAATTTTTTTTTTTCTTAATAGAATTAGACCTTGTAGTTATCTATCTATAATTAATAATCCCTCCGTTTCATATTAATCGCAACAGTAAATATTGCACAAAGTCTTAGAAAATATATAGGGTAGAGATCATAGGGTGAATTTTATAATATAAAATATAGTTAGTGAGAATATATTTTGTTGGTATAAATGGGGTTTGTAAGAGAGAAAAATAATAAAATAGTAGTAGATCCTTCAGAAAATAGGAAGTGTTGCAACTATTATGAAACGGATGTTGTTTCGGGGGTTTTTGATATGTCCTGCGAGAGAGTTACAATCCCTAGTATGTGCAACCGACGCCTGTACCTGCAAAACCACGAAGACTCCAGATGGTGGGAACTCCGCCTCCGACGATCAAGTCGGTAACGTACAGGAGGTAATAAGTACGGAAATAGTAAATACTCCTCGCTAATACAGGATGATTCTGCAATTAATATTGCTCGGGATTGGTGTAAGTGTTTATGGATGTTTATAAATGCTCAATAAATGAGGTCTGAACCACTATTTATAGTGGGGAGACCAGTACCCCATCTAGGGTTCAAAGGACACGTGTCAACGGGGGATTGGCGCCCTGTCGACCTATGGCTGGATGCCACGTGTCGCAAGGCCATTGGGCCACGTGTCTCGGGTAATTTTTACCCCAAACATTTACCCCTCTAGGTGCTGATGTGGCAGTGCCACGTGGCGCCTGAGACGGTTTTTCTTTTTTTTTTTCGAATTTGAATTCGAATTTTGGAAGTGCAAAGGGAAGAAGGTGAAAAGGCGCGAGGGTTCACCTTCTAAGGATTGCCTAAAAATAGCAAAACTCCTCCCTGATGTTCACATTTACAACCTTGAGCAATTTTCAAAGATTTTAAGAGCAGCCGTTTTTTAGAGCAAACTTCTCCAGAAATCTTCCGAGTGCACATCCGGTTTTTTCCGCCTCCTTCAAAGAATTTTCTGCCGTCTGTTGGTGTTGTGAACAGCATCGCAAATTTGCAGCTGCTACTCAGAGAACATATCCGCCTACGAGGACGCCTGAGTCTTTGCAAGCCATTTGGTGTTTTCCCAGCTTGGTCAAGCGGTTTTTGTTTCGGGTGTTTTTAGTCCCTCGGGAGAGTTACAATACGGAGTATGTGCGCCTGACTTCTGTACCTGCAAAACAACGAAACTCCGGTTGGGTGGAGTTCCGCCTCTGACGATCAAGTTAGTATGATTTTCAGATGGGTAAACGTGCGGAAAGTAAATAGGTATTTCTCACTGATTCATAGAGATCTCGCAATTAATATTGCTCGGGTTTTTGTGTATGTATCTATGAATGTCCAATAAATGAGGAGGATCCTCTATTTATATTGGGGGAGACAAGTTCCCTGATTAGGGTTTTGATGCCACGTGTCAGCATCCGATTGGATCCCGTTGGTCCTCTGGTGGGCTGCCACGTGCCATGATTCTACTAGGCCACGTGGCATAGGGTATTTTTACCCTAAACATTTGCTCCTCACAGGTGTGACGTGGCGTAGCCACGTGTCACCTGTGACAAGTGTCAAGCACAGGGGAGGCGACGATTGAGTTGCTTCCCGCCTCTCTCTCTTGGATTCAAATTTTGAAAAGTTAAGGCAGAAGGTGGCGATTCGCCTTCTGGGCTCTGCCTATAAATTGAGGCGTACCCCCTATCTCCTTTTCACTTTACAAATTTTTCAAAAATTTCTTGAGAGCTCTGACACCGGCTGCTAATTTGTGCAACCAGTTGCTTCATTCCAACGCATACGGATACCGGTTGAGGACTTCACTTAATTCACCCAGGTACCGTCTAACTTGATTTTCTTTCTTAGCTTAAGTAGAACCACAGACGGTCATACACCGTCTGGGACTCCATAAGCCCTTTTCATGCTTTGCATTTGGTAGACCCATAGACGGTGTGGACCGTCTGGAGAAACTTCAAACCATGATCCACAAAGATAGACCCTCAGACGGTTGTGGACCGTCTGAGGTATCCTCAAACAATGGACTATCCACTGAATGCATACCATAGCCCCACAGACGGTGAAATACCGCCTGTGCATCTTTAGACTGGTCTGCATGGAGTTGCGCTCAAAAGACCTACAGACGGTTACATGCCGTCTGGGGCATCTTCAGACAAGTCTTCATTCTCTCCTTTTTTTAAAGTCCTCAGCTAGAAATACTCCGCCTGGGTCATCTTCAAACCTTGCTCTTCAAATGATAGACCCACATACGGTTTGGACCGTCTGGGGTATCTTCAAACTTTGGCTTTCAATAATGCATTCCATAGGACCACAAACGGTGAAATACCGCATGTGCATCTTTAGACTAATCTTCAAGTTTCACACAAAAGACCCACAGACGGTTATATGCCGTCTGGGGTATCTTTAGACAATAGTCTTCATTTTCTTCCCCCTTTTTTTACAAGTCCTCAGCCAAAAATGTTCCGCGTGGGACATCTTCAAACCTTGGTCTTCAAATGATAGAACCATAGACGGTTTGGACCGTCTGAGGTGTCTTCAAATCTTGGCTTTCAATAATGCATTCCATAGGCTCACAAACGGTGAAATACCGCCTGTGGCATCTGTAATCAATGGTCTTCAAGGAATTGCATTCAAAAGACCCACAGGCGGTTACATGCCGTCTGGGGCATCTTCAAACAAGCATTGAATATTTTGCATTCAATAGACCCTCAACCGGATAAATTCCGCCTTGGTCATCTTCAAACAATTGCATATCAAAAACTCATTTCATAGACCCTCAGACGGCTAGGAGCCGCCTGGGGTACCTTCAAACAAAGGATTCTTGAAATCCAGACCCAGATAGTTTTGGACCGTCTGGAGTGTCTTCAGATAATTGCTTTTCGAAACTGGACCCACAGATTGTTATGGACCGTCTGGGGTATATGCAAGCTATGCTTCAAGACTTGGATCCTTCGCACCCCTAGCCGGGCTTATACCGCCTGGGGGGTTTTTGAGCAATGGTCTTCATAGCTTGCTCATGTCCTGCTCTTCAAAAACCCTCAGCCGACTCTCATGCCGTCTGCGGGGTCTTTAATCAACCCTCATCAATTAACGCTTGAGGCATCCTTGGTTTTTGATAACCATTAAATGGAACCTCAGACGGAGATGTCCCGCCTGGGGCATCCCTGAATGATCTTCATTGATCCCGCATGGGGTATCTTTGAATAAAACTTTTTGATACCGTTTGCGGTATCTTTGAACAAGCTTCCTTGATACAGCCTGGGGTATCTTTGGACAAGCTATTATGATACCACTTGGGGTATCTTTAGGTGCAATGTTTCCAAAATGCCTTATTATCTTTGTGCTTTAGGTTTTTAAAACTCAAACGGACTTCTCCGCCTACGGCATCTTCAAGCCACATCTTGGAAACTCAGCAATAAAGTCTTCTTCAAACGTCTTCATAAATTCAAGGTATCGCCCTTGCCCCTTTTCTAACCTCTTGAGTTTACCGGTTGTATAGGTTAGAGAACAATGGACTCTCCCAATTCACACACGGCACGGCCTAGGGCAGTTGTCAACCGGTCACCTGATACGGCTGAATCTAGGACTGGGGATGCCGTCTGAGGGTGCATGGAACACCCTTACTTTTCTGCGAATCCGACTGTCTCTGTTCATGTACAGGACAGAATGGCTGGGACAAGGAAAACGACTGTTGACCCCGAGTACAAATCAGATGATTCAGCTGGTACACCGGTTGAAGACGTTCCCTTTGATCAACCAGGTGTTCCAAGTACTCCTGGTGATGAGATTTTGGAAGAATCTGGGAGCTCAAGCGGTGAAGAAACCAATCAGGAAACCGGATCTACAGAGTCTACAATGACCCCGGATTCCCCTCAAGAGACTGAGGAGGCATACAACTGGCCTGCAATAAACAATCCAATGGAGGCGCATATGAGCGCCCGGGATGTTGTAACGTTAAACGCAACACTCCCAGCATTTTTGGAAAACCTTCCGGTAGGGGACATCTGGGAGTTGGGTGTCCCGTCTGCGAGCTCGTCAGTCGTCTGGGAGGATGACTTGGAACATGCCGACATATACTTCGGTTGTTATGAGGCGGCATTCAAAGCTGGCCTCCGGTTCCCCCTTCACAGATGCATAAAAGCCATTTTAAGAGGCTATGACTTGGGGGTCTGGCATCTTACACCCAACTCTTGGGTGAACATCATTGGTTATATTGCCGCCTGCGAGATGTAGGACGTGACGCCTAGCTGGGAGGCGTTCGCGCATATGCCCTACTTGAGCCGTGCCCCAGGCGGCTGGAATTCCTGGTACACTCTCACCACGCATCCGGAATATATGATGACCTTGGAGAAGCCCTCCAAGTGGACGAGCTGGAAGAGCAAGTTTTATTATGTCTTTTCTCCTTCAACGGCTGCTAATCACCGGATGCGCCGGTACAATAAGAACCCGACTCTTCTAGGAAAGAAGCGCACCCTACCAAGGGTTCCGGCTGAGGCTTGGGATGCCATAATGGAGCCGGGGCTATTTAAGAAAACCACCGAGCCTTTGGCTGATGGGACACAAATCATTGTCCCTCTATTCTGGGTCCCTCATCCGGACTGGTTCAAAAACGAGGCGTTCCTCTCCGCCTGTGGTCTCAGCACTTTTTGGGACAAAGGTCTACTTCTTAACCAACAATTTATGCCGTTTGTATGATGTTTAAATGATGCTAGCATTTTCTTGCTATTTTGCAAAGAAAGGGCTAGAAATGACTCCTCCTGAAATGACGCCGACTAAGTCTGTCGCTGAGATCAGGAAAGAGCAGCTTGAACAAAAACGGGCCCAACTTGCAACCCGGGCCA